TCTATAAAAAATATACCTTTAAAAATAATATTTTAGAAAGCTACCAGAAATTATAAAAAGTGGGGGTTTTTTTCCACAAAAAGTATTTTTTGCCCAACTTGTACCAGTAGAGTCTTTTCCAAGACTATTGTTTTGAGGGATTTTCTTTCATGCCTTTTAGTGCATTTTAAAATTTTAATTTCATAGGTTCTTAGTTCAAGTTACTACAAGAGGCCTAAGTCTTTTCAAGATTTACTGTGGAAAAGGAGCCAGCTTCTGGGGAAGTTTATGGTAAAGTGAGATAAACATCCAAATTAGTTAAGGTTGTTTATCCTGCATCACTTAGAAGACATTCTTGACATCACATGTACACAACTGAGCAGGGGAGCTGCTCATTCATTGCTGACAGAAGTTAAGCCCAGATCACCCAGCCTCAGGGTATACAGACCTTACTTCAGTGTGATAAAATCTGCTTCTGTTGGGATAAAAACAAGCCAAATTTTGGTGCATAAGGGCTCCTCTTCCAGTTTTATTTCAATTATTATTTTAGGACAATTTGCCTCACCATGACATATTTCTGAAGTATCTTGGGGTTTGCAAGAGGGGATGAATATTGCAAATGGGTCTGGGGCCATGCTTGTCCAGTGTAATGACTTTACAATTGGCCCCAAATCTGCAAGTCTCAGACATGAAGAGCAGGGATCCTGGAAGCTACGAGCAGGTAATTCAAAGCAATTTAGAAACTTCAGGATTTTTTCCTGTTCTTTTTTCACTCTATAGTTTAATGATGCCTGCCTGAAAGTCACCCCCTGACAGTAGGAGGAAGGAAACATGCTGAACCTGAAGAAACTGGAAAGGCATTTCCCCAGAAAAACTGGAAGTGCCAGACTTGCTCTTGACTAGGGGAGAAGCCAAGAAGGGGCCTTGGCTGCGTTGTTCAGTGGTCCTGAAATCCACTTTATTCTTTACCTGTGTACGATGTTGCTTGATTTGGTACAATATGTGTTGCTCTTTGCATGAGTTTTGACTGTAAAGATTTTTGTTCCATATATAAAAAGCTTGATATGCCCTTTAAAAGCTGCTTTAAACCCATTCTGCAGGAACAAAGCCTGTGAAAGTGCTATTTCTTTCCTCTGATTCTTATCTTACTTGCATACAAGCATAAGCCACTCATTGCAGTGGAAATACCTGTGATTTGCAGTGTAAGATGAGTTCTTTGCTGGTGGATGTGCTAGTAGCAAACCGGCTGAGGAACTCACTAAGTCTCATACTTGAGTCAAGGAAAGCTTGGGCATGACTCACTTAGGAATGCTTTGTACTCCCCTAATTGCATAATTACCTTAGAGAGCTCACTGGCCATTTGGCATGGAGGTCATGCCTGTTTCCTCTGAGCACAGAAATAACTCCTCCTAGCTTCTCCTAGCAGGATAAAAAGGAGATGTGAGAAAGACATTTGGCCATGGCCCCACTTTTCCTCTATATAATCCAGTAGTGGTATTTGTGCACAACTACGAAGTCCTTCATTCTCTGAAGTGAGGATGGAAAAGTTGACCATTACTTAACATAAATCAGCAGTTTCATCTTTGCACTGAGACAGTATCTATATTGAAAGCGATAGTGTGATATTCTGGGGTGTTTGATAGTGGTACTTGTGATATCTGAGTTCTAATAAATGGGATTAAAAAAAAGTGAGGGGCTGTCACAAGCACAGGAACATTCCCCACTATACTCGTATGCCACAGTTAGTCTGACTGTCAAGCAAAGAAAACAGAGATTTCTCCAACACCTTGTTCTCAAAGGTAGTAAGTAAAAAAAGATATGAATAGTATAAATGCAATCAACAATTAAAATTATTCAAAGTAGATGACAAGCAAAGTGACGGGATCTCAGAAAAATGGAAAATTAACCTGCTAATTGCATTAATGGAATTAAAGGAAGATTTGACTGGAGAATACTCCTGGACCTCTAACAAACTCAACAGTGCAGTTTTCAGGGCTCACCCTATGTGTGGAACTGGTAAAGTAAGCATGTCTGCAAGACGGAAAAAAAAGGAGAAAGATAGAAATGGATGACACAGCTGAGGAGGAGATATTTAAGTATAACTATCCTTAGTCCTCCTGATGCTCTCTTTCTCTGGAGCATGGCTGGAATTTCTCCAGCCCCTCTTCTCAACCTTTTTATTAAGTTATCCAACAGTAAATTTGGAAGCTAGACTTGCAGATTGGTGATGGCATCACTATGTAGTCAAACTTTGACACTGCTCTCCCCTTCCTTACACTTATGAATTTACCACTCTTCATTGCACACTGATGCAACTTCCATTTGAAGCAGCTGAAGCACTTCTCCTGTCCCCCTTACAGCCCACCAACTGACAACTCCTAATGTATAACAGGGTAGATATACTCTCCTCCCACTGGGCTTATAAATGAAAATACTTTTGGCTGTTATACTTCATGCTGATGCTGACAATGGACATTTTAGACATGCGCACAGCATGCGCGCCTCATTGGCTCTTCAAGAGTTGTAGGTGGATGTGAATTCAAGTGGTCTGATGCATCTAAGTTACTTAATTAATATAAACTTTGGTGTCCATTGTCGTCTTAGTTGTATACTTGTATTGGTAAGAGTGTTCAAGATTACTGATTTCTTTAGAAGTTCATGATGGATACTTAAATCTTTCCTTCTTTTTTATCAGCTTCCTTTTAAATAATGGGAAGCAAAGCAGTTTAATGCCGCTGAGGCTGCATTAGCTTCCCCTTTTTGTGAGAAACCTCTGCTTATAAGGTTCCCAAAGTGAAAGTTTTTTCAAGAAAAAACATAGCTGGTAGACACTCATATCCAAGCCTGGCTCTGGTGAGTGTAGCTGTTCTACTGATACAAAGGGAGCACCACTCAAAAGCAAGAGAAAAGTTTTTCTGGGAGATGAAAGAAAATGAAAGATCTTGATTCCTAAGATGAGAGAGAACTAGTCAGCAGTTTGTCAAATTGAGGGCTAATATCCAAGACCAATTCTGTTCTCACAGATATATATCTGAAATATAAACTTCATTAGAGCTACATCTAGCTAATCCCTACTGAATTCAGAGGAAAGTCAGGCTCTGGTTCCCAACTGCTTTTGTTATCAAATAAAAAATAGACAACACCTCTGTTTATTGCATGTTTTTTCAAATAATTTTCCTGGAGAATCAAGGAATTAGCATGTTGTAGAGTGGGTGGCTGCCCTGGGGATCAAGGAACACTAGACAGAGTCTATAGTAAAGCTTCTTGCGTTAGGATTGCGGCAGAGGAAACTATACAGAAAATGCAGTCCAGGAAAGAGTTCTTAGAAGATGAAGTAGGGATTAAGCCAGAGCCTATTTTACCATTTGCTAAAACACTCAGTGCATTTGCCCTTATGGATTCTGCATTCCAGAGGACTGCATGCTGGGTTAATAAAATCCCTCTCTTGAACAGGCTTTGGAAACTCAGACAGTCACTCACTGCCCATATGGTAGAATTTGGCTATTGCTAGTAGACAGCTGTGGGAAGCTGAGGACAAGAAAGGGGAGAAAGCACCAACATCTTGTGGAAACATAGACATATATATAGACACATGACTTCGCCTCATGACAGGAGATTCCAAAATATGTTCCTCATAAAAATGCCAGGATCCTCTTTTCTTTGTTTCTTTCAGGAACTGGAGTTTGCACTTCTTCTTTTCTTAGGTGATATATATGTGATTTAAACCCTCATATATCCTGAGTTTAAGTTTCAAGAGCATTTTAAAACAATTAGCACACCTATAAGAAAAAGTGCAAAACATCACATTTCCGTTGCTCACAGACTTAAACGGAGATTACGTTTAGCATTCTTCCCTGGGGAAGAAATGACATGGTCCCCAGAAACTGAATGACAAACCACTGGTCTGTTTTGAGTAGTAAATGCCATTCTTACTGCGTCTAAGAGCCCAGATTGTGTTTCTTTTCTTAACATGAAATTGTGTATTTTGGTACTGCACTCAAAAAACAGTTTAATAGAACAAAGGAGTTATCTTTATGAGACAGCCAGGGAAATACGCAAAGAACAGGAAGATGCAGCTAACCTAAATAATGACATTGAAAACAAAATATCTGTTGGGCTATAAATAAACAGTATGAAGTAAATATAATTATTTTTATTAAGAGAATACACAGACTTAATTCCTGGGGATAATGACAAATACTATTTCCTCAGACTTCAGTTCTCATTTTTAAAGTCAAGCCACAGAATAACGTTTCCTACTTTCTTAAACTTTTTACAGTATGAACTTTCATAACACTTCTTTCAGAGAAAATTGCAAAACCCAGACACGTGTGTTTAGAAGAAAGGTCAGATTTTATAAAACAATAAAATTGCCCAAACTGCTATTTTTAATTTGTGCAAATACATGCATTCTTACCGAGCAGGGAACTAAACATACACAACTGCATTGATTAAGATAATGCTTAGTTTCCTGCAACCTAAAGGAATTTTCTTATTTAGACTAAGTCTTTAACGACCCAGTCTCCCATTGTGTGTATGTGGGTGTTCAAAGTAGCAACTGCAATTTCACAAAAAGGCAAGGTCTGGTCCTGACCTGGTGAGTGAATGGGGAAGGAACTAAATAATCCCCTAAACCAAAGCCAGAATCAACTTTCTGAGTGCCAGACTCAGAAGAATACTTTCCAAAATACAGTCCTAAATGACCTGAGCAGAAGCCTGATTCACATGCATTTTTTGCCTGGGAATTGTCTTGTTGAGTATCTTGAACAGGAAACTGGCTTGATCTGTTGACTTAAAAGATTTAAAACAAGGACTCGCGTTTCTCCCTCCCAGTCTCGACCAGCGGCACTGGGCTGAATCACTCTCTCAGTGGAGACAAAAAAAGTGCTAGAGCAAACTGCTTGCGAAGTGGCTGAGCAATTAGGGAAACGCTGTCATGCTGACATACAGTTGGCAAAAACCACAACCGACTCTGGCGAAACGTCAGGGCATGGTACCGATCCCCATCCCTCAGGTTTTACCTGCTGGTGGGTGAATGGCTGGGAGGGACGTCCTGCACAAAGCTCTGCTCCATGCCCGGGATCCTGGCTGGACTGTGGGGATGGTAAGCTGTCAGGACCACACTGCCTGAGTCCTTCATCTCCATGGTCATAGGCACATGTCGGCCCCGCTGCCGGTGACAGAGGTGACCGGGGGTGCCGACAGGCCCCAGCGGGAGGACAAGTGGTCCTGTCACGAGCGCGAGCGCGTGGCTGGGCTCCGTAGCAGCCTCTCACCACCGTTTGCTGTCAGGAGAGCTGTGTAACTGAGACTCCCTGTCAGGAAAGCTGAATTAGCATGTATTCAAAAACACCGCCCACAAAACAACCCATGAGGAAGTTACTACGTTCCTAGGAAACTAGAAACCTGAGACAATCCTGCACGGCACTGAGCAACTGCCGGGAAAACTTCTTGCTTGCTTTCTTTTTCTTTCCTTTTAGGAGCCAATTTCTTAATACTCCTCCTGCTCCTGAAATAGGCTCAACTAAGTGAAATTATGTACTGGTGAAGCAGCAGGACATTTGGAGACTGCTACTCAAACACAAAACATGGTTTGGCAGAGCAGGGAGTAACATTTAAACTGCTTACATGAGGGATTCGGAAAACAAGTGGCCTCTGGTCTGTTTAAATTATCAAGGAATAGGAACCTTGGTTTCCTACATGCTGGATCATTTCTGTGTTAGGGAACTGCACTTTATTTCTCCTGAAAAGATATTAAGCTTTCATTTTGCCTGTTATGGCTGTGTACATAGTTAGAATGGCACTGGGAAAGGAGCAATTTATTTTTGCAGGAGTGTGTGTTCATCTGGAGCAATCCCATAAATAAATACAGCCCGTGATGCTCGATATTTTTTCATGCTTGTGTTTGATCTTTGTATGATAATTAAATGTTTTTACTCAAAAAGAAACCAACAAGCAAAAATATCAGGGTCCATTCTGGAGTAACACCCAGAAAAAACTTTGTAGACAAAATGAGAAAACTTAGAGAGTCCTTTATTTATCTCTTCCACTTCTTCAGTGTTTGGATTTTTTTTTTTTTTAATAAATATTTCTGATAAATGCCTAGTCCTGAAAACTATTTTTTTGTCTGTGAAATCATGGGAAGAATGGTCCCTGATTTTACTCTGTGACTGCTTTTCAGCCACAGCTCTCTGAACACCTTGTGAGCACATGGGTGAAACATTAGCATCTGTCCATTTTTGTCACAGCTGCGGACAGTGTCCCCAGAACAGGTACTGTGCAAAATGCCTATTGGGTTCCTCTTTCTCATCCCCTTTTAGTGAAGGTGCTCTCCCTAGCACTGCTATAGATCTGCCTAAATGACACTGTTGATCTCTTCAGCTGGCAAAGTAGCTCAGGTTTTGAAGGGAATAAAAATGATTCATCTCATCTTCACCTTCCCCCGAGCTCCATATCCTGCCTGGAGTGGCAGGACTGTTTCAGTCAAATATGTTGCTGCGACTCATGTCAGTAGTGCCCAAGTTAATTTTAAATTAGCCAGCACAGCACCCTGATAACAGTACACTTGGCAGCATTTCTTGCCAGGCTCACCCAGGAAGCATAAATATTTGAACATGTAGAGCCTCTAGGCTTGTTCTCACTACGCTGTTTACATGTCCTGGATTAAATATTTTAAAGCCAGGTTGCACAGGATTAAATCATTGTTGCTTCCATGGCAGCATGGAGGCCCTCTGGGAGCCACTGTACAGCCCTGTGCATATGTTAGAAATGAAGGAGAAGGCTTTAAGCTACCTCTGGAAGCCTTCCGTACTGCCCACAGCATCAGGACTGTATGGCCACAGTGCTGTCAGTGAGGACCAGGATGAGTGCAATAACCAGTGAACACCTTGTTGTGCTCTGTATTCAGGAGGGGGATAGGGTTTGAAAAATTAGGATAGGTGCCATCATGGATCTCATATCCCATCTCTGAGGAGCACTGACTGAATGACAACTTGATGCCTGGCTACTGGATGACCAGGGATGATGCTGCCGATGTCATTCTTTTTCCTTTCCTACCTGGCTTTACATTTCCTTTCCTGGACCAGAACATGGGCACCCCACTTCTGTGATGAGGGAGGGTAAATTATAAATATAAATTTATATTTGGCACAAGTACAAACAGATATTTTGAAAATTATTTAGCTAAAATACAGTTATCAAACTAGGAGCTAAAAATTTATAAATATAAATCATAAAATATCTACTGACATGCTTTAAGGGCATTCTCCACAATTTACTTAAAGAAACTAGACATCTGAAAAAAAAACATGTAGTGGAAGGTACCAAACATTATCAGAAATGGAGTAGGTGTCCTTTAGGATACCATTCTGGAGGCAAAGTATTGGTTGCAACTCCAGGAAAGCCTTTTTTCTACCCTTCACAATGTCATATTACAAGGCTTTTTCCAGTACCATCAGCTTCTCAATAGTAAAATGCATATAAAGAGAAGAGGCCCAAACTTATTGAGATTTTCTCTCGAAGAAAAATAAACATGGAAGATATTATTTGGAGATTTATAAGGTGCTGGTCTGTAAAGTGGAGGCTTGTATGGAAGTGGCAGACAGTTTGGCACAAGTACAAATAGATATTTTGAAAATTAATCAGCCAAAATACATATATCAAACTGGGAGCTAAAAATGTTTATATGCATAATGGTTCTTGGGGTTAGACATCTGCATAATATTGAATACTAAAAATGATGCTAAATCAACTAGAGATACGCATCAGTCATTAAACTAAGTTTTAACCAAACTAGTGATACAGCCATAAGAAAAATATACAAGGCAATGTGGGCCAGATTCCTCCTTCAATTTTATCTGTGGAATTCCATTAGTTAAAAGAGATCTTATTCTGGTTTCTGAAGAAGCAAGTAGGAAAATATTTCAATCCAATATGCTTGTGTTTCTACAGGATCTCCTTCAATACTAGATCATGGTGTACTCAGGACTATCACGATTCTAATTGTTTTTTTTTCAGATAGTTAATAGCTCCATAGACCATTTAGTTTGTTGAGAAATAATATTGTGAGGTTGTTCTTGGTGGCAACCAGCAAAGTAAAGATACAGCAGAGAAGAATCTGTGGGGAATCCGTAGCTAGTGAACCCGTGAGCAGCTCCCTCAGGTTTGGTAGGCAAAGACTGTGCTTTCAAATTTTACATTGTGCTTGTGCCAAGGGAAGTGCTTTGCACTTTCACAGATTTGGCAAAAGTATTGTTTATATATGGATTAGTGTGCCCAGACTTTGAGAATAAGGAGAGAAAAACCTGTATTAACCGATTGTTTCAAAAATATTAGTGGCTATATAGTTGTATGATGAATACTTCAGCTCTTCTGCTGAAGATCTATGACAACCCTATACTAGAAGTACAAAAACAGAAAGTCATTAGTTATAGCTTACTGAGATGAAAAAGAAATTTTCATTGTTGCTAACAATATTAATATATATATACAATATTAATTAGTAATCATTATGGCAGTAAAATGATGAGCAACTTTTGTGTGGCAAATTTAATGTTGATTGCTTAGAATGGAACTAATAAAGTTTTCACATAGACTTAAACCAGCCTTTTCTGGTTAAGTCCAAGGGGGGCTGTCACAGAAAGGAATGGGATTTGTCAGCTAGGGGTTCTTGTCTGGAGATGGCAGGGACATGTACCATTATAGCAGATGAGTAGAACCACAGAGCCCTGGAAAGTGTAAAATTCCCTTTTGAACTACAAATCACACAAAAATGTCTGAGTATTGAATTTCATTGCTTGATTCCAGCTTAAATTAGCCAGGACAAAGTTGGACAGAATTCGCAGAACTTTGAAGTTAATTTTGGACCAGTTTAATGTGAACTTGGGTTAGATTAAGTTTTAAAAGGAAGCTGTGCAAAACACAACATTTTTCACTGATTAAATCAAAGGAAACAGAGTAGAGCAATATACAGAAAAATGTCATCTTAGCATTGGGCCCAAATTTTTTCATCCCTCTTTTTTGGGTAGTAGCATGCAATAAATTTTGTATCTATGTGTGTGAAAGAGACCAAAGCCAGAATCACTGCATTTATCCATACTCTGGGAAAACAGAAACGGCACCTCTTGTCTCTAATTTGTCACTTGGATGGAAAGATGCTTGAGGGGTGGGGGGCAGAAATAGTCACCACATCAAAGAATTGGTGTTGGCAAAAAACACCTGGACACTCTGAAAACAAGGGGTACCACAAAGTCACATAAAAGTCAAGGACAGTGGTGTGTGAGTCTTCTACTGGTCAGTACCAATACCTCCTGTGAAAAAGTGCTCTGAGAGAGGACTGATTCTTGTGTCAGGGAAATTTTCACTGTGGTTTGAGGACTATTTCCCTTGAAAGAATTTCATGCCTTATGAAGGATAGTTTCTAATGCTTGATTTAGCCTCTGTGCTTTCTATTCCTGTGATGCCAGAAGGATTACAATGTTTTTTATTTTCAGTATAAATGTGGGGTGTTTGTGTGCCTCTGTATGGGCAGCTGCGAATGTGAGCGAGTGGGTGCGATTCATTGGTAGCATCAAAACACACCCACTGATTTTAGAACACTGAAAAATTCATAAGCCCCCCTAAAAACCCCCAAACTAGAGGAAAATCATTGTTATTCTGCTTTCTTTGTCTTTTCAAACTGAGATTAAAGAAAACATTGAGAAAACTGTTGCTTGTCCTTTACAAACAGGTTAAGTAACAAGGCTATTTAGGCAAAGAGAATAGAAATCGGGTATCATAGCAATTGGTGGTGTTTCAAAGGTTTTTAATTAGCATATGAAATAAAACATTCATCTTTTTAAAACATAACATCACATATTTCAATGTGAGGCTGAACTTTAAATAAACATCATGCTTTAGTGAACTTTAACATGGTTGGTTTTTAATTGAACAATTTATGGTGGATTCTTTTATCCTAAAAGGACACAAAAGCATAGAAAAAAGTATTTAGACAACTTTATGTAGCTGCTTGCTGAGTAAGGATCCCCATTTATTTTCTAGGACTTCAAAAGCTGGTTCTCCTCAGCACAGATTAGACTACCCATATATTATTTCCATGTTAATTATGTACAGGAAAGGAAACTTCCTTAATCTGTCTGCCACAATAGGACTTTCTGGAGGTTTACTTTAAGAAAAAGCTCATATCCTTTCA